ATGTAAGCTTTCACGTGACAGCAAACCTGACAATAAATCCGCTTTGTCTCCAGCATGAGGGCGAAGCACCCTGGGAAGGTTTCACCGCATTTCCTTGGTTGTTCAAGCTAAACGCTGGCATTATCTCTAGCCTGAATACTTCTTCTGAGGGCACAACCTCTGTGCGTGTGGCTTGTAGCCTCCCACCTGGGCTCCCCACTGTGCTGCCCTACAGACTGAAGGGTGGAAAAGGTGGGGTTTTTTAATGTAGCACAATCCTTGTTCTTCTTTAAAGGCCGATGCCGAAGCGTTCCAGTAGCTAAGACTGCAAACGGCCAAAGGGAGCCCTAATTGTTAGAAATAACCTCACTGGACCTCCCAAGATGAAAGGTGTAGGTTCTGTGCACACTTCTGGCTACTTCATCTTTGGCCACTGGCGGCTCCCAACTCGTAGCACGCAAGACACCACCATGCTCACAGAAACGCTCGGTAATTGAATTGTGCTATCAGTAGAGGTCAGGCAAGCTCCTCACCACCACCAGGAACTGCATGGCCCTTGCTTGACAATTCATGGTGTTTAGGAAAAACAGACCAAGAACAATCCACAAGGCTTATTTTCTGGGGAATTTATCCCATATTATTTTATTCAAAGAACAAAAAACATTGACTACTTTTCATTGAGATACATCAAGAATTTTTTCAGCCAGTATGTCAGCAATTGCTTCTTTGATGGATGATATACCTGGAAGGTTATGACACATTTGAGGCATTTTTCATAAACATAGCTAATTTTAAATATCAGGTTAAATCAAATTAGAAATGTTTTGTCAGATTCTCAACACAAGAATTTCTCAATTTCCGGAAATGTACCATCTTTCACCTACTTCACATAGGCAGAGTGCTGGATAAGGCAGACAGAAATTTCATTTTCTTACTCACCCATTCCAAGGTGCTTTAGAAAGAGCATGCTTTAGAGAGCTGCGTCTGTTGAGCCTGGAGAAGAGAGGACTGACAAGGGAATCTTATCAGTGCTTAGAAATATCTAAAGGGTGGATGTCTGGAGGAAGGGGCCAGACTCTTCTCTATGGTGGCCAGCAACAGGACGAGGGGCACAAACGGGAACACAGAAAGTTCCATTTGAACACAAGGAAAAACTTCTTCGCTTTGACGGTGACCAAGCACTGGAACAGGCTGCCCGGAGAGGTTGTGGAGTCTCCTTCTCTGGAGATATTCAAAAGCCGCCTGGATGTGATCCTGTGCAACCTGCTGTAGGTGAACCTGCTTTAGCAGGGGGTTGGACTAGATGATCTCCAAAGGTCCCTTCCAACCCTTACCATTCTGTGAATCTGTAATGCATTCCAGAAGGCAAATAGGATGAAAACTCCTCATCTTGGTGACAAACAACACATTGGGATTTTTTTTTTTTTAATGCAGAACAAACAGTACAAACATAGGAGTGTTGAACAGAATAACGGACCTTGCTAGTACACTGAAATAAATACTTGCTAGTTCATGAAAACATAATCTCACAGCTATGCTCCAAGCTCTCTCAGCTCACCTTCCACATAACAACAGAAAATGGACATGATTTGGGAACTTCATCATCATTATCAAAATAAAGTTAGGCTATATGTAGCTGCTGCTATCACTAAATTAGTGGCCTGGTTTCAGACGAGAGTTAATTTTTCTTTCTAGCAGCTAGTATAGCACCATGGTTTGGATTTAGGATGAGAATAACATTGATAACACACTGATGTTTTTAGTTGTTGCTAGGTAGTTGTAGTCCCTACACTAAGTCAAGGACTTTCCAGCTTCCCAGGCCCTGCCAGGTGCACCAGAAGCTGGGAGAGCACAGCCAGGACAGCTGACCCAGACTGGCCCAAGGGGCATTCCCTGCTCAGAAACAGACTGGGCATCTGGTTTGGCTTTTTTTTCTGCATGTGGTGAGCAATTGCATTTGTGCATCACTTGTATTTTAATATCATCACTATTATTATTCTCTTCCTTTGTTATCCTATTAAACTGTCTTTATCTCAACCCACGAGGTTTTTTTTCCCTGTTCTCCTCCCCATCCCCTTGCAACTGCATGGTGCTCAATCACTGGCTGGAGTTAAACCATGACAATTAGTAATTTAAAAATGTGCTCAGTCCCACAAAAATAGCACCCTTGTAAAGATACAGTCAAAGAATATGCTAGGCTAGAAGGTACTTTTAGATCTCAAACTACTGGAATCACTAATCTTTTCACAGACTGTGGTACATCAAGATCTACCGCAGTGAGTGCTTTAAAAGCATCACAAGCAAAGTTTTTAACTTTCCTCGCAGCTGAGTCTTGCAATGAACTTTTAGAACACTCTTCTGATTGTCATGTTACCAACCTTCCACTCTAGCTCTCCTTATTTTCCCTCCAGTTGTGTGGTCTTGCCATGGGAGCACAGGCTGAACCAACACCACCAAGTGATAGGACACAACAGGGTATTTTAAAATTACTCAGTTTCTTTCTAAAATTGTTCTCTCCAGAACACTTCCTGCTTGAAGGACATTTCCACTTCATGGGCAGAGAAGGAAGGGAGAGAGTAAGACGATTCCAACCAGAAACCTGCTGAAGAGCACTGAAGGAAAGTCCCCAAAGTTCAAGCATATTGAGGCATCTCGCTTTACTTGTCACAGTATATGAACTGTATTGTGCAAAATCACTAGCTAGCTTCAGAATCTCTGTTGCTCCGAATATTTTCCTCTATACAGGAAAGAAAATGCACATAAATGCCTGATAAGCATGCTAAAACAGTAATCATCTGCATATCATGTACCAACTCATCTTGTAAATCAGAACTACTACAACAGCTCCTGATTTAAAAACACCTCTTTATGCTGACAACCTTCAAACACATCTCAACTCCTGCAGCGATTCATTTTCAGGAAGGTTTTAAGGAGTAAATATCACTGGTGCATGTGTCATAAGGGTTCTTGTCCTTCTTGCAGCTGTTTCTCAAGACTTTTGGGGTCTCCCTGCCCAGCATGCCATCATCTAACATGACACTAAAAGGGTAGAGTAAGCCTCAAGCCCTTAGGCTCTTACTGGCCCAGTATGGCTGTCACAGCTCTCTCCACATGCCTCCCTGGAACATCACACAGGCTTTCAGGCCAAACGCTTCCCCTGTACTGGAGTCTAGGCATCAGCCTTAAAGAAATGAGTAATTCAGCAGACACAAGGACTAACTTCAGTATCTTTTAAGAGGAAATTAATATATAGAATCACATAAATACCAAAAATATATGAAAGTTTCTAGGTGCAACAGTTCTTAGATCCTTTCTCTAGCTGAGCCTCTCACTTTTTTTCATAAATGCGAAGGCAGAGGTCGCTGACTGGGTGTAGAATGTCTTTCTTGTGGAACATTTGTACATGATCACACTGGCACAGAGGTGCTGAGCTCCATGGACAACGCACAGCTTTCTGAGATATTCTGACACTCCTGGATAAGGCTACTGAGGATGTTTTTTCATGTAAATCAAGAGATAGGCCGTTTGTCCCCTGTGGAATCAGAAAAAAAAGCAAAACAAGATGTATGTTTGAAGATCTAGAACGCAAGTAACCTCCCAGGTTTGCTCCTGCTCAGCTTTTTGAGGTTTAGGTCAGGGAACGGTCACTCTGCAGTGCTCCTGAGGCAGTATATAAAGCTGACCCCCTGGCACCACTATAGCTTATAGGAGGGATTATCTCTCTTTGTGGCTTTTCTTATGATGCAAAGCAGCAAAAAACATGGAGGAATCCTGACCAACATATCTAATTTAGTCAAGATACAGTGTCCAAGTGGCAATCATAAGTAACAAGACCACTCCTGCAGCCCCGTTTGTGACTAGTCAGTAATCCTGCAGGCTCCCGGTATAGTCATGTACAGCCACATCAGAGTAACTAGAATACATGGATGCCTCCTCTACACTCCTGCATCCCCAGCACATCCCAGGCGATACACAGTTCAAACCATTTGTATTTCCTCTCTTTTCTACCCTCATTCCAAACCCCAGAGCAGCATTAGGTAAAAACAGAGGTGTGTTTGCTTACCAGTGGAGGTTGGAGTGTCCATAGGTGCATTTAACATCATCCCATGATACCTAACGAAGAAAAACACACAAGGGGAGGCTGGTAAAAACTCGTAAGAGATGGACACATTGTGATACCAGCACAGCAATTCTCTTAAGACAGCTGTAAGTGGTACTGCCAGGAACTAAACACTTTTTAATAACTTGGTTTATTGCTTTTACCCTTCAAGGAAAAACAGTTCCTTTGCCTCTTCTGAACGCATACATTAAACAGATCTAGAGATCTAGAGCCATTTTGCCCTCAGCTCAGAGTATGCTGTAGCAGAGGAACAAAGTGCACAAAGCTCTGCAACTTCACTTTTCTTTCCTGATTCTCTTTAATCAGCAGTCATTTAGACTGAATGAGATCTGGAGGAGTGTCCAGGAAGCTACATAAGAAACGTGGATTTATCTCCTCACCTGACAAACCTCCGAATCATTGAAGCAATACCATTTACATTCTGTGAGACTTCGAATATAGGCACAGTAATGTCCACAATTAGTTGATCCTGAATGAGCAACAACAGCAAAAAGCTCATACTGCCAGGCAGCCTGTGAAGAACCACAAAGAGTAATTTTCAGTGCAGCAATTCTCATTTGCCATTGACTGAAGAGAAGCAGCAACCAGGACAGCAAGAATGTGTGTTTCCTAAGGAAAAAGGAGAAAGATTAGACTGGCCTTGAGGATCCTGACTTTTTCACTCTTACCCTCAGAATATAGTATATCTTTAGTATATTTAGAAATGGAAGAAAAAAGTTACACTAAACACTCTCAGGAAAAAAAGGATTATTTTTTTAAAAGCCTGGGTTTTGTCCCTATGGCAGAAAGCTCCAGTTATGGTGCCTTTGGTTGACTTAATCTGAGCACAAAAAGCTGAACAATGCCTGAACCAGTTAAAGCCATGGGATGTGAGGCAACACCAGGCACAGGTAAAGACTGAGACATACATTTTTAAGACAGGTGCTTTGAACTGAGGCAAGTACTGGTGTGATCTCTTAAGTTTTTATGAGACTTGAGCAGAGCAGAGAAGAAAATCTGCCCTTTTTAAACAGGGCATCAGGAGTATCTCACCTTTTCATTGTCATCTGCTTGGCACTGATTTTCTGTTAAGATTGCATTGAAATCAAGGTCTTGTGGGAATGGCAAATAGTGACTAAGCTTGTGAATGTGGGCTGATTTTTCGAAGCAGAAGCGCTTTAGATGTATGGTCAGAGTCTGTGGCAGATGGACTAGCTTCATGCTCTGTAAAGCAATAAATAATGCAATTGGAAAATAAGGAACAAACCCTGGGGTGGTGGGGTGGAAACAGCCATTGCCACCCAGCAAATGTAGCATGGAGAGCAGTCAGTGCTACAGTGAATGACTGCCAATTCCACCACACAGCAGATGCCAAACCTTTGTAGCTCACATGTAACGGAGCTGTAATAACCAAATTTGTCAACTTCAGGGTGATCAGCACCCAGCCTTGGGTGTCTCATGGGCTGCTTCATTTCTCATCTGCTTTCTTAACCGTAGGTTGGTAGCACTAGGTTGGTGAGGAGAGGCAAGCCAACTTCCTTGTGACTGTGGCCACTAGACCTCCGTGGAGGACACCAAGCTGACAGCTGACTCCTTCCAGCACTTTGTTGATATTACTGCTGGTGCCATGGCTGCCACCAAGACATATGGTTGCATTGGGGCCTCAGAGGCAGCCCAGTGGTGAAACATGGTGGAAAGTCCCCTCCAAGCCTTGAGCTGAGGCAGACTCCTCCACACACTTCTCCCTTTAATGCACTTGCCCCTTCGTGAAACAGCTAATTCATCAGCTGGCAGAAACCCATACTGTAAAAAGTGGGGAGCCCAGTGGAGAGCAGGGGAGAAAGGAAATCACCTTACAGTATCCTACTTTTATTTGTATGCACAGCTCCAGTAACGTAGTCTTGTCTACCCCTGGAGCTACGCAGTGGTGTAAAGCCCCACAGGGGAAGCACAGCATAACCCAACAGATGCTTTTCTGCTGGTACAGAAATGCTACATCCCTTGGTGACTTACATTAAAACCCATGAAAGCATTCTTCTGTTGCTAGAGCTACATCTACAGTAAGGAACTTCCTAACAGGAAAGACACATGTGGTTTATGCCTAGCTGACATTGCTGTGATGACAAATCTTTGAGTTGTTGATCTCCTCTTACACTGATATGGTTAAGTCCTCTCCCTACCCTTCCCAGTCCTAAAGGGAGTTCTGGGTATAAGAGACATATGAGGAAATAATTCTCCAGCTACCTGCAGAAAAGGTGTTTTCCTTCCACACTGTTCACAGAAACACATGTTCTGATCAGTCAATTCTTCTGGATGGAAAAAGCATTGCAGACAGTCCTCCTAAGAAGACAGAGGAGATTTCTTTCAGCCAAATTCCTTCAAGCTGGACTTCTATTTCTACTTCGTTTCACAGCGTACAAGCAAACAGCAAAGCTACAGAAGACATATTTTATTCAAAGGACAAAAGATTGCCTAGCAACCTAAAAGAAGGTACTCCATTTTTCCTAGCTGCTGCTGTGATTACATTAGTTGGAAAAAAAAAAAAAAAAAAAAAAAAAAAGAGTACCACATTTTCCACAAAAAAAGCTGTTGATGCGTAAGTGACTTTTACACCTACTTCAAAGCCTTAGAGGTTTTGAAAGAGGTTCCTTTATGCTGAAACAGTATAAACTGGTCAGAGAATAAATAAGGTCCAATGGTCCAGTGTCACCGGAAAAATCCACTGTCTATTTGTGGCAGCACCTACATAGCCACCATATCACTGCTGTAGCTGGATACCAAACAGCAGTACTGATTTAACGGTAAAGCACTGCACTGAGCAAGCATGGTGTGTCTGGTCTGGGATTACAAGTTATCTAGGGCACCTCACCGTGATATCTAAAGTCTCACAGGTACACATCCTTGTGTAGTATGAGTCTCTGAATATTACAGAGTATTTAGTCAACACCCTTTTTAGAGAGGCGATTCAAGGACTTTCCATCCCCCAAATCAAACAAAATTTTTGAGAAATTCAGAAGCCCTGCAAAGAGAAGGGTCCCACAGTGGACAGAGGGAAATCATCTTTCTAAGGAAACAGTGCTGCCACTGAACTTACCAGAGTCTTCAGCATGTGAGAATTGGCATCCAACACTGGGAGTGGAAGGGTTAACATGCTGCTGTTCCTCTTTGTTTCAAAAAGGCATTTCTGACAGGCCACCTGCTCCTGTACACAGATAGTGTACAAATCACTCAGCTTTCCAGCCTGGAGTGGTAAAAAAAAGCCAAAACAAGGTTTATGAAGAACGTATTTCCCTCTGTGGGTGGGAAAGCCCACGTGGACATGTTACTTCATGCAAAGTTACTGCTTTAAGTCTTGTACCCTCATCTGACATTGACCTACGTGGACAGGGTACTTCCCACCATTTAAAGGAGAACAACTCCTTCCCCTCT